GTATAAGACCTAACCGCTTCATCGGCATAAGCTAAGTATTAATACCAAAGGCACAGGMAACTCGGGTGTGAATCCTATGATGCATAGCCCGCCCTGGTATACAAATTGGACCCGTTAGAGACAACCGACTTCAACTTTAAGTAACCCAAGTGCATACAGGTCACGCATATGCTCGCTATGTTGGTCGCCTCGGTGTACGTTATAAAATCACCCCTACCAAGTACTGGGAGACAGCTCGGGGTAACGATAATCGAGAAACCCCACTTCGAGCACTTAGCTCTAACAGTTCGAGTGAAATAGTCACTTTGGCAAAAGAGTAAATCGCACAACACTTGGCAAAAAAGAGAAACATTTCATTACTAGAAAAATCGGGCCTAATAGCCCAGGAGAGTACATCAAAACAGAGAAAAAAAAGAGAACCAGGCTCGGCCATCCGAGAGCAACCACTTCAAAAGATTCATTTTTTAGAAGAAGAAAAAAAGAGAGCAACCAACCTCAAGGCCCCACCTCCTCTACGTCCTCATCGCTCTCTTCCAGGGAGTCGGGCTCCTCCTCCTCTGCAGTATCTGCCGTCTCTGGGGCCAGGTCCCTCATTGTTACGCCCTCAAGGTTAAGGTCGAAGAACTTCTTCTGGACCAGCCACTAGCAAAACTTGAACCCCGAGCGGTAGGACTTCGAGCCGTATTCGACCTGGAGGTCGTGGAACTGCTGGGACTCTTTAAAGTCCTCCACCGCCTTAGCCCGCTCTTCCTCCACCACGGTGTCGAAGTTTCGGGTCCTCTCATGGAGCGTGGACTCCAAGCTCTGGACCTGCTGGCGAAGAAGCTCCTTCTCCGCCGCCACCCTCGAAGACTCCTCCCTGTAATGGGCGCTCTCCTCAGACAATCGGGAGATTCGTGCTTCCTGGTCCCTAACGAACAGCTCCTGGGCCTCGCTTCCCTTCTGAGCCTAGATGAATTCAGCCCAGGCCTCGTCGAGCTCGTGTTGGAGCTTCTGCACTTCCGACCTCTGATCGACGGCGTCGTGGGAGTTGATAGCAATCTGACAGGCCATGGCATGGATGGTGGAGTTCAGCTGCCAATAGAAATCCGAGGTAAGTAAGGGGGAGAGAGAAAAGAAAAGGGGGGGAGAAAAAGGGAAGAAGCAGCACTTACCACCATGCAGTGAGCCGAGGCCAGCTTGGCGAGCTGCCTATGGTGCATCCCGGCCTAGCTCGCGACCTCCTCATGAGTGACCGCCTGTCGGCTCCTCCGCGAGGCCACGAGGAAGTTGGTGACGCTTTCGTCCCTTCCCTCGGTAGGAAACCGCGGGAAGACGGTGGGGCCGGACCGCGCGGCTGAAGGGTACTGCTCCTTGGGTGGGACCTCTTCTTCTTCACCGCCTCCCGCGGCTACTCCCTCGAATGGCACAAGTGGGACCTCTGGCGGCGGAACAAAGGCTGGATCCACAGCCTCAAACTCGGCGGCCCCAGAAGTGGACGCTTGGTCGAGGTGCGACCTCTTCGCCCTACACTTCTGGTTGCTCGACAAAAGGCGATGTGCATCCACACCAGACATGTTGGCTACAAGAATCACAAGGCATTAGTCCAGCTCGCAAAAAAAAAAAAAAAAAAAGAAAAAGAAGAGAAGGCGACCTAAGGGTAACCTACCGGGGCTCAAGCCGGCCTGCACGAGCTTGTCCTCAGCCAAGTAGTCCGACTAGAGGAAGCCTACCCCCGCCCAAGACTACAGCATTTTCCGAACTTTTGGGTTCAGCTCAACGCCCGGATCCTGAACGGCGGCCCTCCAGTGGGTCGGAAAGGGCCACCCCTCGAGGTTGCGAACTACAAAATAACCCCGCTTCTAGGTTGGGATCCTGTTTGGCAGATCGTGGAGGAGCTTGAAGCGAGGACGGGGGGAAAAGTAATAAGAGCACCTTTTTGGGGGGGCTCCAGGGGAGGCATTCTTAATTGACAAAAGGGTGGCAAAGATATCAAGGGAAAGAGGAAGACAGTACTCGAAAAACAAAGAAATTGTCCCAACCACATTCCGGATTGAGTTCGGATGGAGTTGGTCTATGGTGACATTGAAATGGGTAAGAACCTCCACTATCAAAGGGTATAGAGGGAGTCGGAGACCAGCCACGAGCTGCTCCTCAAAGATCACGATCTCATCATAGTCGTGCTTCCAGGGAGAGTTACCGGATGGGAGGCTGTAGATGAGATCCCTGGGGGGGTTATAGTAAGAGACTAGGGCCCGAAGCCTCTCCATTAACATGGAGGAAGGGCCGAAGCTATCCGGCTCTCGACCCCAGGAAGTGGAAGCCGAGTTATCGGAGGCCTCTCAGACTTTCGGAGCCTGCCCTTCAGGAAACCCCCAAGCTCCCCCCGAGCTCGAGGGGACCTCGCCCTGATTACCATCTCGGGAAAAGCCATCGTAGTACGGATACCCAGACATTGTTTGGATAGAGTAGAGGACTCACCAGGAAAGTGAACTGAGAAAGCGACGAAAACGGGGAGAGCTCAAGCAAACAAGGTGAAGGTGCGACCTCAAACTAAAAGCAAGGCAAGTTGGCGTAAAGAAAATGAGGCCTAGGGCCCTCCTATTTATAGCCACTGTGCCCAAAAAACCAACGGTCCCGATCAAAGCGGATCCAACGACTTATAATAAATTTGGCTGCACGTCCTTCGAGACTGAAATAAAGCTGGTTGCGCGTCTTCCGAAACTGAAGGCAGTTCGGCGCATTTTTTGGTGCCCGGAAAATCCAGAAGTCGCCCGACCTCCGCGCGTATACATCATGCGATCAGTCAACCTAGTTTAAATTATGGGTCAAATCCACCCGTCACTTCATGAGCTCCCTGCGCTAGAGTAAGACCCTTAGCCCAAGGAGTGGGGGGCAATTGATGGAGGGTGATTTGACCCAACCTCCTAACTAAGGGACACGTGGATATGACTCGACGTAAGTGACAGCTCAGCATGACAGCTTGGCCACAACTTGGCGTAATGAGCTCGCTGAAATCCCAACAGAACAGCTCGCTACAGTTCACTACAACCCGCTACAGAACGGCTTGCTGCAAGGCAGCTCGCTACGAAGGAGTTCGCTACAAGGGAGCTCGCTACAAAGGAGATCGCTATTGAGTAACCCGGAGTCTTCGGGAAACTTCTTATCCGACAAGACCATGCTTGTCAGACTGCTCCCACGTCTCTTATCCGGCGGCGCAACACCTGCCAGTACAGAGGACTGCGCCCACGTCTCAACGTCAGGCGGCGTCATGCACGCCAACTTTGCATAACGTCTCTCAGCTGACAGGATCGTACCCTGCAACGGATACCTGCACCAATTGAATCAGCCTGACAAATAACGGTTGTAGTAGAGAATCAGAGGTGGTTACACCCGATTTGACAAAGCATTAATATATAAGGGCTCTGACCCCCAAGGAAGAAGGTAATTGAATTTTTGTAATCGAGTAGTGCGCATCTCCACTCTTAGGTCGTTTTCCTTTACTACTCTCTAAGCTTTCTACCGAATTCTAACTTAAGCATCGGAGTGTTCTCGTCGGGCGAACTCCCCGGGAATCCATCTTCTCATTCTTAGGTGTTGTCCGTTGCCAGATAGGAGTAAAGCCCCTACCAGCTAGGAGTGACCAGATCGCGCTACTCAGAAGTTAACCTCTCACTCTCTCACTCTCTCTCTCCACTCTCTCTCTCCTCCTCTCCTTCTTCTTCTTCTCCTTCGTTCTCTCTTTTCTTTTTCATCACTCCCTCTCTTTTTCCTGTATGTTTTGGTCGGACCAAGCGGCGGATCTCCCTTGTTCGTCTTGCTGAAGCTCTCCGAAAGCCGGTGACCATTACAACATTCGACGGTTGCTGAAGCTCTAATGTTCTGTTACTCTGTCCATGAACCCAACAACGATGTGGAAAAAGGAGGAGAGAGAGAGACAAGGGTCTTGCAGCCACGAGAAATAGAGTGGGTGGTCAAAGACAGAGAGTTGGCGTAACAATTCTGCTCAAGGGCGATGATTGTAAAGCAGAAACAGATCTAAAGGGTAAATAGTTCTTTTATATTTTTGTTAACGGAAAATTAAGGGGTGTTAACCGTAAGAGAAGTATTAGTCAATTGTTTGAAAGCGTTAGTCAATTTTCAAAATGTAAGGGTACTTAATCAATTCGCTAAACGCAGTTTAAGAAATTTACCCATTCAATAAAAGTGAGGTGAGACGGTTTTTTCGGTCTCTTCTTCATTTTTTGTGGTGTATCTCTGGTTTAAATGAAGACGCAGAAGAAGACGAAGCCGAGATCTTGATCTCAGTTCTGTATCTCAGATCTTATATACCGCGAGTCTTTCCCTTCGGTGTCTTTGACCGTCTTCTTCTTCTGGCCTTAAAGTGAAAACTCCGAAGAGCCTTGGACGGAAGAGACGACACCTACCGATTTCCAGTACAGATAACCAGCTCTCTCTCTCTCTCTCTTATTTCGGATTTCAGCGTCTCTGATCTCGTTTCTTCATTAGGTAAAAAACGATTGGACAATGGACACTGACGTGCATTGGGCATTCCCTTTCCAATAGTGATTGATGTTAGTTGAAGACTTCACCTTTCTTTCCTTTCCATTGTAAATGGGATACTGCAAATGACCGATGACTGAGTGAGGAAGAAGAAGAAAGAGGGACAGAAACAGATGAGAAAGGGACGGGAGAAAAATAGAAAAGAAGGGGAAGAAAAGAGGGAGATCCGTTTGCAGCCCTGACTATGGGGGCTAAACTAAAGTTGCTTCACCAACACCAAGTGAAGTAAAAGAATATTATAACATAGGTAAAGGTAGACTCCGGATCTCCTGCCCACGCCTACCCACAATACACTATCCCCTTGAATTTGGATGAGATGTTCTCCATGTGACTGCAATAAACATGGGCAGGAGATCCGGGCTCGTAAAGGTAATTTTGACAAAGGGGAGGAATTTCAAATTTGATTTGCTCCTCAGTTGGTAACAAAACTCAAAACAATTGAAGCATCCTTGTTAAACTACTGCGAAAAATTAATCTCTAACTATTTGATAATTGAAATTTCATTACACATGTTCAGTTATGTCAAGTGCTTTGTGTTTTATACACCATGCGAGTGATTGATTCTTTCTCTTACATAATGATCTCATATAGGATAAACCTATATTGATTTCTGTCAGCTTCAGCTTGAGCTAACACTACTGTACTAAAAATAAAGTGAGCACGTCTTGATTTCATTGTATGTATATTCATCCTTTATAAAGCCTCCACTTTGAAATTAGACTACTCTTGTACTCACCAATTGTTGTTTCAATTCCTTCAATATTACTTTGCTTTCTTCTGGAGAATTCCCGCATTACGTAGCCAAGAACCTCATGCAGATGGGAGGATTAACATTGGCTAAAGCAAGAATAGATGAAGGGAGGATCCACAACCCATCCCCACAGATCAAACCAGATGCAACTGCAGGAATCATCAAAGTAGCCTTCTTGCTATCGAGCTTGTGCCATACAAGGACAATTAAGCTCCCAACACACATATCAATCGCAAAATAGGCTCCAACTAGGAAAGGCACTGCCATAGCCATTGGTAACGGAACCCACTTCCCTAATTTAGGCGGGGATAAGTCCCTCAGTAAGTTGGCCCCAACTGCAAAGGCAAAGAATCCACAACAGAGTTGCAAGCAATGCCGTGGTAGTGCAGAAAAGCCTTCGACTCCAAGAATTGCCATGTTTCGATAGATTAATGCATATGGAGCTTTGAACTCTTTATTAGGATTGCCCACATCAAAAGCCTTATAGAACAGAAAGAATGTTAGAGGAGCAACCACACAGCCCATGGCAGTTCCAACAGCCTGGCTCACGAGCATTGAGCGAGGAGAAGTGAGAGTGAGATGAGCGGACTTGAAGTCATGCATCAGATCAGAGGAAATGGAAACAATGGATTTAATCAGGCCACAACCGACAAGCCCTGCTACCACACCAGTGTCTTTTCCAGCCAAGGCGGCAATTACAAAGAGGGCAACTTTTCCATAGTTGTAGGCCATGTTCATGTCAGTCAGACCAGCACCATAAGCATTGCAGAAGCTTAGAGACGGAGCAAAAATGTAAGCTAAAACCACATAGTACCATTTCAACTCGGGGAACATTAATGGGATCAAAATGGTGGAAATGATGGAGAAGGTGACATATCCCACAAATGCAAGCCATAAAGGAATTCTTTCCCTCACAAACAATTCATTTCTTTGAAGATCATCAAGAGGCTGACTCCCATGATCTGCCACTGAAGATAAGAAGCAAAAATGTTAGCTCAAGTTGTAAACCAAACCATGTCTACATGGGACATCTTGGTAGACTGCTAAGTGCCAACAGGCAAGTTCGGATGCATGCCAAGGTCGTCTGCTCAAGCCTGGCCTGAACTGATTGTGATCCATCATGGTCAAAGCATCTAGGCTCAAGCTGTGATAGCCTGATTGCAGCTACTGGATTTAGTCCATAGCCAGGCCTGTATCTGGCCTGAGCTATAAACTCTGTAGAAAGTCCTGCTCAACAACATTGACCAGATGATTAATTTAACAATCAGTATAGGCAGCAAGGTTCAGCTTGCCAGGCATTAGGTAGACTCTCTTTGCACATGTATAGGATTGCTAACGGTCCTACTTGTGGTCTCATTTACCTCTGTTCGAGTTCCTTTTGTTCATCCTGTCATGGATACTTTTGATGGTGAAGAACATTATCTTGAGAAAATTGTAGAGGCCATCTCCAAGGATGAGGGCAATGGAAATAAAAACCTGCTCAATACATTGGTAAATGAGAAGCCACTTTTTCTCTAAATAGCATAAGTTACCGTCAGTAATGAAAATTTTGAAAGGAGATATCAGATTTTGGTAACCTTGTAACCATTCAAGCTCTTCATATTGCTCTCAGGTAAAGTCATGGGGAACCAATCTCCTTTAAGCCCACTTATCAGCGGCCACATTATCCCCCATGAGAGCACAGCTCCCAAAATCAAAGAAAAGTTCACGAGATGTGAACAAATCATTCCCGCTCCAATGTAAGTCATGCTAAAATCAAAGTAGAATCTGCAAAATCCAATGAACATAAACCAGCGGTCAAGAAAGGATGATTCACAGGTACAGCTGCAAAGGTAGGAAACAGAACAATACACACGTTTGTTTCCATGCTCTCAATCCAAAAGTTGGGAACTGTGAGAACCCACATTGTGCCCCTCCAGAATAGAACCATTGAAAGAAACCCCAAAGGAAGCTGATTGAGAAGAACTTTGCAAACCCATGCACTTGCTTTCTGTGTTAAAGACGATAACTCTTTTTAGATCAAGTTTATATCTGAATTATTGATTCTATAAGGAGAAAGGAACTGTGAAAAACAAATAGGTACTTGGCCATTTTGTCCCCTTGAGAAGTGTGGAAACCATTAATAAGAACCGCAGTCGCAGTACCACTCGGATAGGTCAATTTGTAGTCAATTATCATAATCTGTGGAATAATTATAATCCACTTTATGAGCATATCTTTAGGATCGGAAAAGAAATAATGATTAGAGTTATAGAACTACTCCACAATGATGTTCAGTTCCAAAATATTAGCATTTTATATCGTTATATTTGTATTTGATTGCTGCTATAACAGCAAAACTGAGCAAATTAAACTGCAGAAATCCAGCATAAAGCTTGACAAGTTTGAAATGGAACATTATTTAAGACAAGGTTACTTTTTTGAACAAAACAAAAACAAACAGAACCTAAAGACAAATATCTACTACACCGATTTATGTTACAAGGTCGGGCGAGGGTTACACCCACCAAGTCAACATGAGTGAGAAGTTACAGCATATCAGAAATAATTAATGCGCTAAAGATAAATTTAAGGTGGTTACCCAGAACCCCTTTATAGGAATTGACAATCTTATTGCAAGAAGATGAATTGTAATCTCACTTGTAACCAGAAAATTTAGAAGCAAAGGAAAAAATACCATACAACAAAACCCAAGTCTGAGAGGAAATAGAGGAATCTGCCTCCAAATCATATTATAAATATAACAGTGAAATAGAGAATCTACCTTTCTGAGAGGAACCAAGGCCAAAAGTCCAACAAAGCTAACTACAAAAAGGAACCCAGTCATCCAACCAATTCCAGGTTCTTTGAAGCTCCCTGGAGTATTGCCTTCTGTATCAACCCCTGCCTGTTCATATGTCTTCTTATTTAATCCCAAAAGATAGGACCCGAAACCTCCTGAGATACAAATAACAACAAAAATCTGAAAAACAGTGAGGAAGAAATGGATATTTTAAAGGAAAAAACAAAACTTTTTCTCTGCTCTGAATCTCTTGATAAATTTACAGAATATTAGAGCATCTCACCTCCTACAGCAATGCTATAACATGCAACTGCACAAGTCTGGATTACGGTGTTCTCCTGCCGTGTGAACGGGGATGAGACAATTCCAGCTTTCTGAAGCAGCGTTGTCCACGACCGTATGAAAACAAAAGCGAGAAGGGCAGCAGAGACATTGAGGTTAGGAACGAGGCCAGTGGTGAGGTTAAGCTTCATCACTATCACGCTATAGATAACCCCGATCAGTAAGCTTGCAATAAGCCCGCGGACTGTAATCTGCTTAGTCCATGGTGGAATTCTCTTCCACTCTTCCATTGGTTTTTCCTGTGGCTCTTCCAAGTCCTCTCTATCGATCTCTTTCTCATCTTTCGATTCCTCCATATCCATGGCTCCCGATTTTATAGTACAGGTCGTTTGGCACCACTTCTTCATTCAACAGGGGAACCCCATCTGAAATTCCAATATCTTGGTTAGAGAAGTGGTAAAAAAGAAAATTTTCACACAAATTTTGGAACAATGTGCTTATGCATAAGACCCTGGGTACCTTATTCTCCTCCTCCAGTGCTCCTGCTGTTGTTATTAGTTCTTCAGCAGAGGAATTGCTTAAGCAGTAGAAAAACAAACAAACAGAAACTGGCCTCCCTTCTTGATCAATTTACTGAAACTGAATCCCACCCGCCTATCGAATTCCCTCGGAAACCGCCAGAAGACACACCTGGTTCGCAATGATGAATACAAATAATAATCAATTGAAGCAGTAAAAAGCATAAGCGCACACAAGAATAAAATCATGAACGAAGAAAAAAAAAACAATAAGAAAATCTGCGAAGACTCCGATCACAATAGCAATAGCATGTACTTCTAAAGTAGAAATTAGTGATTGTAGTACACTATACAGGCGGAAATCTGCAGCTCTCTTTGTTCCAAGGATCTCTCTTTATTCTTCATATTTTTATCGTGTCCATTGAGAAGGAAAGTCGGGTACTGAGTAAAGAATTTGAACAAGATTCAACTGAAGGAAGGATCGATTCTTCCCTTAAAAGCCCACTAAACGTCACCCATTGAAAGAAAAAGAAAAGGAGTAAGAGATTGGGTGAAGATTGCGCACCCAACGTTGACGAATGCGATCGTTTTGTTGTGCTGTCAAGACTTCAAAGAGATCCACCCATTTATGTTTCGGAGCTGCAGATTCACTTTTACAATTCTGCTGCTGCTCTTGCAATTTTGATGGGGACGAGGGAAACCTCTTCTTGGACCCCCGATCCAATCAGCAGAAGTCAGAAGACCTTACCACAAGGGCTTCTTGGTCAATGAACATAAACAATTACAGAAATAATAGCTTCTCTTTCAGAAGTAGTACAAGTTTATACTACCTTCCCGCTTTGTACGTTGTAAATCCAAAGCGGTTTTACTTCCTTTTTGTGACTATGAGTGGGTTGTAATAGGAGAGGGATGACCGGAGAGAAGAGAAATAAATATATTAGATTCTTTTATACTGATCCAGAATTCCAGATGTGTAGCCAAGGCAAGTATCAGCAAGAAAGCAATATTAGTAGTGTAGAGGGCTGTAAATCGGTCGGAACCGTCGGATGGATCCGATTAAACCATACCGGAACTGTCTCCACTACGGGATGAATTGGAGCTGGGTTACTGTTTACTGTGGGTTCCATCTAGGCTTATCTTTACTGGACACTGGCGTGTCTACTGTGATAGGTAACTAAGGGTGTGAATGGACCGGTTTTCGATTGGACCCCGTCCATTCCAAAATCAATTTGAACGTATTGGACGGACCAATAAGACATTCCGGTCCAAAATATTATTATATTAGATTGAACCTGGTCCATCCGTAACATATTTATATTAGGTTGTGATGGAGGGAGATTTGGCCCGACCCCTTGGCCACGTGACACGTGGAAGCAACCGAGAGTGACCTGGCAGAAGCGTCAGCTCGGCACGGCAGCGGGCCCACAACCCGAGCTCCGAGAAAATGAGTCCCAAGCTCCCCCAAAAAAGGAACCCACGACCCGAGCTCCCCAAGGAAGAACCCAAGCTCTCCCTTGGAGGTCCTAAGCCTTACAAGGAGCGCAAAGGGCAAAAACCCGAGTTGACCCACCCCGGGGCAGTTCGGGCCACACTTCTATCCGAACTCAAGACTTCACCTCGCACACCACTTCGGCTCCAAGTCGCCTGACTAAACAGCCGTACCTGACGCCCAGGAAGCCCGTACACGGAGGCGGCGCGCCTGACTGATTAGGGGTCCGACACATGACAGCCGCCCTCCAACGGCCACCTGCCACCGCCATCTCAGACGTGGCAGAGATGGCCCTGAAAAAGAAGATAGTGGTGGTTATGACACCCGAACTGGCAACTGGCAGAGGTTATGACACCCGAACTGGCATCTGGCAGAGATGATGACACTCGATCTGGCAGAGGTGATGATGCCCGATCTGGCAGAGGTATGGGAGTGAGTGTACAAGGTGATTATAAAAGGCCCCCTTCCCCCAACGAAGGAGATATGTGATTCGTGTGCTTTCTGGTCTTGAAGTCCCTCATTCTCCTTGCCTTCTCAAGAGCACTAACTTGAGCTTCAGAGTGTTCCAACCGGGTTCCTCCCCGAAAGTTTCCATTTTCTTCCTTGTTTCAGGCACCTCCAATTTCGTTAGAGGCAAGGTAACCGGAAGCTAAGACCGACCAGATTGCGCATCATCAAGTTGGATTGGATTAAGCTAGCAAATATCTGGTTTATTGATATAAGATAACAATATATGTGTCAATGGACCGGGTTTGGATTAAAATCAATCTAAATCAAAATGAATTTGAATAGATTAGACGGTCCAGACATTGAATTTGGATCAATCCAAATTGGTCCAAGACATTGATTAGATTGAATTGGACATGTTCCATTTATAATGAATTCATATCGGACTGAATCGGATTGGACCAAATTTATTACAATTGACACCGCTATAGGTAACCCAACCAATCTGGTCTCCTCTATTACATGGGTCTGGTAGGCATTGCGTCATTGCGTGCAAAGATCAAAGTATCGGGTATCGGATATATCATATTTGTATCCAAAATCAAAATATCAGTGTTATTTATACCTAACTTTTGTTATCAGGCGAATCGGTATTCTAATCCTTGATTGCATGTTTGATCAGTTCTCATTTGTATTTACATGACAAAAGTATGGATGAAATGCTAGGAAAAACCTCTTCAAAAAGTAGTTTAAAATTAGCCCTAGGGCTGAAATGGATCAGATTTAATCTCTTCCAATTTAAATTCGATTCATTTATGTTGGATTCCGACATCTGTTTAGTCATGATTGAATCGCATTAAATCTGAAGACATTGATCTGTTTACTAATTGTTTCATCCAATCTCATATACTAAGCAATCGATTATGATATCAAAAATACATGATATGGAACATTGGGGTTAATTACCCCTTGCTTATATTAAAGCCTTTTCTTTCACGTATCTAAAAAATATTAGGATGAATTTGATTTAAGTTTGATTTACAAACCTTGTATAAATTTTTCTGCTATTTTCTTCCTTTTCCTATTTTTTCCTTCAAACCAAACACAATCTTGTTTTTATCATATTCTTTTGAAAGGAGATGCATAATTAGTGGCCATTTCTTTGTTGCAACTTGCAAGGATACATGGGCCCGCATCTTTTAGGGTGGAGCCCATGAATTTAATACTGGCGTTGGAACCTCATTGGTTCTACGACCTGCTGAACGACTAAAGCGTTCGAATTCTATTGCGAGAGAATCCTTTCTCTTCCTTAGTGGATTAATAATATCCTTGTCCCATTGTAGAAATTAATGATCTCCCACTGGTCAAGGTTGCACATACACGGTTGTGTATCCTCCTTTTTAATTCAGAGGCCTTAACGACTGATTGTATTAGAAATGACAACGGGCAGGTTCGGGGTGGGGATCATATTCCCCATCCCCGACCCCGATTCTCAAATTAACTCTCATCCTTGATTCTAATCTCCGTTGGGAATAAAATTAACTCTCCACGGGGATGGGTTCCTASGGAGATCTAAATCTCTGAATTTTTTTTAGATAACAGTTTTTTTTATAAATAAATATATTTAAAATAAATAATTTTTTTTAATTATAAACAATGTTTTAAATATGTTTTGATATATAGAAATAATATAATCGGGGTCGGGGTAGGGCATGGTGGGAACCTCAATCCCCATCCCAAACCCCGACCCCGATCGAGGATTCTTATTAATCCCCGCCCCACCAAAACAATCCCCATCCCCAACTCCATTGGGTCTGGGAAGTCGGGTCCCCGTTGAGTATGGGAAAATTGCCATCCCTATATTGTATTTCTTCTTTTGAGTAGCAATGATTTTTTTTTCCTAAGGCATACAAAATAATTGGGTAAAYTATTGAAACCTCCTTTGAAGTTTCTGACCATTGCTAATATCTCCCAAAGTTTGGTAAACGCAATCACCTCCTTTGAACTTTATGACACCGTTGCAAGTAGATTTTGTTTATTAGAATATTCTAATAAGAGGCATGAGAATGTCCAAAAATATCCATGTAGTTACAATTGAGGTTGGTTTCTATGGGTAAAAAACAATACGAACTTTATGAACAAAAAAAAAGAGAGTTTAAAGTTGCATCTTTACCTTTTTAGGGATTGATATGAAGGGAAATTTTGAAAAAAAAATCAATTTTGAAAAAGAGATTGGAAGGGTTTGGGTAGTGGTTAATATGAAGAGAAAATTTGGAAAATAAATATTTTGGTTAAAAGTAATTATATGGGTATTTTAGACATTTTTCATGTCTCTTGTTTGAAGATTCTAACAGAGAGGGTCTCCTTGCACCTATGTTAAAAAGTTTAGGGGAGGTGATTATAATTACTAATCAAGAGCAAATCATGCATTTGACTTCCCTATTGGAGGATAGCTCAAGCGATCGGCGAATGAGGTCAGTAGATGGATTTACAAGAACAGAAGACCAAAGTACTTGGGGGTTTGGACCTAGAGCAAGCACTTCGATGCTTAAGTTAGCTGAGCTGATGAAAGTAGCTTAGAGAGCAAAAAGCAGAGGAGAGTGAGAGCAAGATGATTGATTGCACTTAACCGCGCATACCTTATGAAGGCAAGTAGATGCCTTTTTATAGGCCCCGGGGTCCAAGAGCCATGTTTGGGATATTCGGGAGTGATAGGCCTTATTGGCACATTATCTTCAGGGCACGATGCACCGACACTGGCAACGATCCTCATCCAATCTCTCTGAAGTGTGTGGAGACTGGGGTCATTCGTGCTAGGTAAGCGACGTGCCTCCATCGGCTTCGAACTGATAGGTGTTCTAACCGGATAAGGATAGCCCGACATGTAGGTCGAAACCTCGAAGGTCAGTTGGGTACTCAATTCGTTAGTTGCCCAAGTCGGAGAGGTCAAGCCGACATCCGAAATCATCGGTTTGTTCTCCCGAAGTGACATGCTCCACTCTAACGGGGAGCGACCCATCGGTCTTCCATTGATTGAGACGTAGGTTGGGCTGATTGTCTTGATCCTATTTGGCTAGGTGCAACTTGCCCCCATATGGCACTGAGGTGTTATTCAACCATTAGGGCTCACTGTGTGGCTCTTCATGACTAATAAACCAAATCACCCCTCATCAATTTCCAAAGGTTTCAGCAATAATAAAAAATTTCAAGAAGATTTCAACAATTTATCAAAAAAAATGGTAAACACAAAATGGCAACCGATCATGTGAAATTCATTGAGGTTTTAATTGGTCAAAAGTAACTCTTCCAAATCATGTCTATCTGGTACCATAGATGTACCCTCATATTACATCCGGTTTCTAAATGAACTGAATTTGAAATCTTCTGCATATACATCCGGTATGGAGTCTCTTGCATACTTATGGCATCGGATTTAAACACGCCCCTATCCAAATTTGATATTTTCCAGTAAAAGGCCCTATCCAAATTTGATCTTTTTTCGGATTTCGAGAGGGGGAAAGTTAGTCAATGGGATTTTAATTCTCATTGACCAAGAATCTCATATTCTTTTTTCATATTTATGTGGGGACCAGGGAAAGTTTATTTTCTCAGGCACCACTTACCCGGATAAATGATACCCATCTCCTAGGTGAGTAAATAATTTTTCCACCTAGGAGGAAAGTTGCTAACACTTGAATGAAACAAAAATACCCTTTTTAATAATGGATTTTTATGACTAAAATAGTCATTATCTTATTTACCCGAAAAAATTTACCCAAATAACTGCATTTACCTGTATTATTAACTTACCAAAAAGMGAAAATGTCATTAATTTTATTTATTTTTGTTGAATGGAGCCAAATATCCTAATGCATCATGATAGAAGCTCCTCCCACACTTGGCTTGTAATCGGTGATATTATATTTAACTTTTCAAATTCTGATGATGGGGCCCCTTT